ACATTATGGCATCCTCGGCCTGACCTATGGGCCCTGCGCCTCTGGCCGCTCAACGGGAGCCTTCGTGCCTCCCAGAGCGAGTCTTAAACACAATTTCGGAGGCTAGAGCTCCGTCTACGAGATGCCTCTATGCCTTAAAGTGGTCTTTTTCCTCTGCCTGGTGTCTCAACCGCGGCAAAGACCCTCTCACTTCCGAATTAGCAGAGGTGCTGTAATTTCTACAAGAGCTGCTGGATAAGGGTCGTTCCCCATCCACGCTCGAAGTCTATGTGGAGGCTATAGCGGCCCCTCATGTCCCTATTGAGGGTCAATCGGTGGGCAGAAATAGCGCGGTGAGCACGAGCACAGGTCATTACGCTCTCTGTGCTTCCTCCAACTAAAGAGGACAGAGAGCTATCTCTGCTCTGCCCCGTCAGAGCGTTGAGAATCTATATTGAGCGTTCCGCTCCCTATAGGCGATCGGAACAACTCTTTGTCAGCTTCGGTAACCGCACCAAAGGGTTTCCGGTTACGAAGCAAAGACTCTCTAGATGGATAGTAGACGCCATCTCGCTAGCATACTCTTCCTTGGGCCTCCAATGCCCCATTGAAGTACGGGCCCACTCGACTAGAGGCATCGCCTCGTCGTGGGCATGGTCCAGTGGTGTGTCCATTGCGGATATTTGTGAGGCGGCCGGCTGGGCCTCGCCGTCCACATTTGCGAGGTTTTATAACCTGGAAGTCCCGGCCTTACAGGCCAGGGTCCTTTCCGCTTGAAATGGCATGCGCTGCGTAAACGGATATGGCAGAGAGCCCTTGGCCATACCGCGCCCAAGTTCTCTGGCATTGCTCACCTGTTAGCTCTCGACCCTTGGGTGTCGAAGTTACGGGGATACTCTGGAACGATTAACCAGGCCGGGTGTGACCTAGAAAGCTCAGCCCGTTTTAGCTTGGGGTTATTGTTGACTTCTCTATAAGCATTGGTTGCTTATGGAAGTCATACCTTTAGTCGTTCCACTACATTAGCACGGCGTGATTGGACTGTTCCCATATGCGTCTTAAGCAAGACGCAGTACGAGTGAAGTATCGAAAGGGAACGTACTCGGTTACTAACGTAACCTCGGTT